GGGGCGGGGACCCCCCGGGGGCTCGGCGGCCGCGGCCCCCACTTCTTCCCGGAACAAGGTCACACACCCCCATCCACCTAGAGGAATCCACGCCCCCTACCCCGTCCAGGATTGACGAAGCGCTTTCCTCAACCCGCGAGGTCGGTGTTCTCAGCCCCTCGTTGTACAGATCGGGGAAACTAAGGCTCTGAGAGCAGGCGTGTGGTCTTCTGGGGGCCGGCCGGCGAGCGCCTGGTAGGACCCTGGCCACCCGGACCCTAACCCGGGCGCCTTTCCTTCCGCAGGCGATGGGCAGTGGCCCTCAGGGTGGCGCCCTTTGCCTGGAACCGTTGTACCCCAGCAGGGGCAACCACCTTGGGAACAGGGTCCCTAGCGCCTCGCTCAGGGAGGAGCGGGGGCGCTGAGGATCCCACTGCATGCTTCAAGATTTGGAACCAGGTCTGAGGGAAGGCTGGACCTTCGCTAGAGGGACTGCTGCCTGGCTCCATTCCTGACCCTGGGAGGAGGATGGCAAACCTTCGCGGGGCCCCCATTCGTGCCATTCGTCCATCTACCAGGCTGCACTAGCCTCTGAGGACAGAGCTTAATCCCACCCGCAGCCCCAAGAGCTCCTGGTCCAGTGGAAGAGACAGGGAGGAGAGCGTTCAGTACATACAGGTTGAACCAGTGCCCCTTTACAGATGATGGGGTAGATCTGGAGGCTCAAGGGGCCACAGCCTGGGGTGTTCTGGGCTTGGAACCTACAGGTGGCTGGAGGGAAAGGAAAACTAGGGGGAGGGGGATTCCCTGAGGGAAAAGTTGTCTGAGAGGGGTTCTGGGTACTCACCCACTGCAGCCTCAATTCTAGGTGAATGAGATAGTAATTTACTGTGTAGTTAATGCTATACACAATCTGAACGTTTCATCCATCACACAATAAAGGGTAGGCTTGGCAGCCCTCTCTGGTCCAGGGGGAGAGGTGGATGTTTGCTATAGGCTGTGCCATGTGCCAGATCTGTCCATCTCTATGGCCCCAGCACCCTAGCCATGACCAGGTCAAACGCTGGCTGTACACATCATCTCATGTCACCCGCACAAACAGAAAATGACAGAGAAACATCCCTTTCTGCAAATGACGAAACCTTGCTCAGAGAGGTAAAATGACTCGACCAAGGACGCACAGCTTCCAGGCCTACCTAATGCCAGAGCTTTTTCCACAGGAGCCCCCTCTTCTGCCCACCCTCTTCAAGCTTTCCCTTTTCCTGTCTTTCTCCCCCTAAATCTCTCATATCCAAAGGAGACCTACCCCTGTGGCCACCTGTCAGAATTCTGCACATCCTTCAAGGCCCAGCTGAAATCCACAGTCACCGGGAAGGCCTTCCCAGGGGGTGGAGTCCAGATGCCGCTCACCTCTGCAGCCCAGCATTAACATCAGCTGCAATTCAGCAAATCTCTCTTTGGTGTTAGGGGCTGCAGGAGGGACCCTCCTCCTGAGGGGTGACCCGTAGACAGGACAATGCCTAATGCAGAGGGACCACAAATGGTGCAGACCAGGGGACAGTAGGCTCTCCAGGAGACATAGCATGAAGGCAGGGACCCGCACCTTTGCCTAAGCTCTGGGCTCTCCCAACCTTGGCCTCTTGCCAGGCATGGGGGAGGGGCGATGCACCCGGCGAACTTGGCAGGGGTCTTCTCTCACAGGTGTTGTCAAGCAAGTTCCCCCAATGGGCTTGTACTTTTTCTTGGTTTTTATTTTCTACACTGATGAAAATGTCACAATTTTTACACTCTTGTGGCACAAAGAACCAGAAGCATGTTTCACAATTTATGTAGCTCGTTATGTAGCAATACTGACAGCTTTATCCTATTTCTGAGTTTAAAAAAAAAAAATTCTTTTCTCCCTTCTAGGAGGTTGAGTGGGACATGTGTCACTTTCTTTCTCCACCCCTCCCCCTAAGGCTACACCAATGCTCCTCTAACAAGCGGCCTCCTCCTTGAAGCCTACTTTGAATGTACCTCCCCCCACCCAAACTCACCATGACCTTGGGGACTCAAACTCTCTATGACACTCACTCATCTGCCATTTATGGAAGCCTACTATGTGCTAGACACAGTGACCAAGACAGCCATGAACACTATGAGGTGAGCAGTGTACAGATTAACAAGAGGCCAGGGAGCTCAGATCATGGGGAGAGTGATTCTTTAGGAGACTGAGAAGGGCCCCCATTAAGCCCCCACTATATCACATGTGTCCACCTTGGAGGCCCTTGTGTCCCCCAGAGGACCCAGCTCAGGGCCCTGCATATGGCAGGCTTACCAAATGCTCATCACCCCAGAAAGCCACAGCTGGAAAGGGACTCAGATCCAAAAGACTGCATTCCGAGGGTGAATGAGGCCCAGAGAGGGGAAGGAACTTTCCCAAGGTCACACAGCAAGGTTAATCGAAGACCTTGGACTCCACTTCCCTGCTCTGCCCAGCCTCACAGTGTGCTTACTGACCTCCTTCATGGGATGGAGGGCCAAGCGTGGCTCCTCATCCAGCCCTGGATAAAGGGAGATGAGCCTTTCTCCTTTCCCTTCTGGTTTCTGGAGGCAGATGCAGCCCAGGACTCGGGAAGAGGAACTGACTGGTCTTCAGGTCAGAAAATCTTGTTCTAGACCCAAGTCAACCTTTAGTGAGGGGCAGTGGGCAAATCACATCCCTTCTTTCAGTAAAACAGGGTTCCTGATGCCCACTTTCTAGGACTGTGGTGGAGCCCACTGACAGCCCAGTGGTGAGAGCTGGGAGCCAGAGGCAGACGAATGGGCTCAGATCCGGCTCCCCAGACCCTGGCCGGGAGACAGCAGGCAAGGTCCTCAGCTCTCTGTGAGACGGGTGGGGGCTGCAGTCAGGATTAAGTAGGATAGATGAAGCTCTGGACCCCCATTTCCACACCCCCAGGGCCTGACTTTATCCCACCTTCTCCAGGAGGCCACTCCTGACTACAGAAGCCGGTCCTACTGATCACACGCCTTGGGCCGGCTAGAGTCCTCTCACACCATGTGTATTCAAATCTTAACTCAGATGAGCTGTGGGCAAATTCCTGGACCTCTCTGAGCCTCGGTGTCCCTATCTGTAAAATGGGCTAACGATGGTACCTACTTTATAGAGTTGTGGGAAGGATTAAACAAGGTAAGCGATCACCAGTAAAACGGTAAATATTAAGCAACTAAACACAGTAGGTGCCAGCTTCATTATTATGATGACTGACGTTGGCTCTAGTACAAGCCCCGATTTCTGCCCTGAGAAGGTATGTGGCCACCGCAGGTGGGAGTCTGTCTGGGCTCCGAGGAGCTTGAAGGCAGCCAGGCAGCAGGGACAGGGCTGGTGTCATGCCTAGTGAATGAATGAACATGCTTACAAAATCATCCTAGAGCCACAGAATATCACCTAGTCTGGTAGTTTTGAACTCTTTTTAAAAAGCTCTTTTTTCTAGAGCAACTTCAGAGAGACTCAGAGATACAAAGTGCTCGGGGCGGCGAGCCGCACAGGGGGAGGCCTCAGCTTTCATTCATTAGAGCTGGGACTGAGGGCTGACGCTCAGCGAGCAGCCCGTGGTCTGTGGAGACCAGGCGTGCTTCCTCCCCAGACGGGGCCCTCTGCCTCCACTAACACAGCCGTGCTCCCGCCTGCTTCTCAGGCCGCTGGGCCATGGTGCTTAGGTCAACTAAGGCCCCCGGCGCTTTTGCATGAGGCTGCTGCCTGGTGCCACCACCCCAGCCCATGGGCGGCTGGATGTGGACAGCCGGGTCGCCCCTGCCCCTCTCTGTGACAGCTCACTGCCCATTTGGACATCCTCCCTCCCAGCTGATCCACAGGCCCCCTGGCTTCCATCCATGTCACTGACCAAAGTGCAGGGCAGACCCCAGTGGAGGACAGAGGCAGTGGGGTCTCCGGCTGGAAGGACCTGCATTCTCGGCAGCCCCCCGACCCTAGTTCCAGCCACTCCGCCACCATCCTGACATCTGGCCCACAACCCTGCTCCTTCTCCAGGATCTTCTGAGAGACTTTCTCAAAGGCCTTTCAGAATTCCAGACACATGATTTCTTCATGCACCCAGTTCAATCCCAAGCAATGATGATGATGATAAATTATCAGCTACTGAGGGCCGGCCCCGTGGCTTGGCGGTTAAGTGCGCGCACTGTGCTGCCGGCGGCCCGGGTTCGGATCCCGGGTGCGCACCGACGCACCGCTCCTCTGGCCATGCTGGGGCCGCGTCCCACATATGGCAACTAGAAGGATGTGCAGCTATGACAGACAACTGTCTGCTGGGGCTTTGGGGGAAAAATAAATAAATAAAAAGTCTTTAAAAAAAAAAAAGAATTTGCATTTTATCAGTTACTGAGCTCCTGCTCGCCAAGTGCCTCTGCCCGTGGCAATCACTGAACACCCCCAAGCCCTAGAGAGGATGCCTAGGAGGGCCCAATGCCTCTTATTAAGAATCCTCAGGAGGCCATGTGCTCTAGAATTCAGAATGTTTTGGGTCTTTGGTGCAGAAATGGAGGCTCAGAGAATTTGAGCCAGTTGCTGAAAGTGGTAAAG